CCCCCCCGCCTCACCCATCCCCCCAGCGCCTGTCATCAAGCAAGACTCTAAACCTGTAATCAAACAGCCGAGAAACGCCGAATTCAGCCCCTTTCACTCCCGATGTGGAACTTTCACAGTTCCTCTGACTCCCAGGGGGGACGGCGGGGCGGGGGGGTGTGATTTTGTTTGTGTTTTAGGCTCGGCGACGATGTAGCGGATCGGAATGGGGATGAATGAAGCCGAGATGCCAGCGAGTGCAGCGGTTCGGGCCAAAGGAGAGGAACAGGCAGGTGGGACCTGATTGTAAGGTAAACACTTCAGGAGGAGAAAGGAGTTTAATCGGAAGCAGCAGAGGCAGCGATGAATGAGATAAATTAAGAGTCATTAGCAGTTTGTGTGCAGGAGGCAATAAGGCAGCTGTGTGTGTGTGTGTGTGTGTGTGTGTGTGTGTGTGTGTGAGACAGTCAGAGGTGTCAGTGGTGCTAATGGGAGTGTGTAAGCGGGGGAGGGGTGAGGCGGGCACTGACTCTGCGTGAAGCGGGGCGGGTTGTCGTTGACGTCGCTCAGCCGCACGGTGATGGTGGTGGTGCCGGACAGACCCCCCAGGTGACCGCCCATGTCCTTGGCCTGCAGAACCACCAGGTACTGATCCTGCCTCTCCCGGTCCAAATCCGGCACCGCTGTACGGAGGATACCTGGGCAGGGGGATGGTACAGTGCAAATAAACAGGAGAGGTGACACTGTGTGTCCACGCCTGTCCCAGGCAGCACAGGGCACATGGGACAGGCTGGGAGGGATGCCAGCCAATAGCAGGGCGGGGACACACACACACACACACACACATGTAGGGTAAACATATCCTTATGGGGACCGCTCATTCATTTCAATGGGAAAAATGCTAACGCTAACTATGACAACCTTGATCCCCACCCTGCCCTAACCATAACCATAAGTAACCGAACAAAATACAAGAGTTTTTGCATTTTTAGTTTTTTCATAGCAGTCACCGGTCCCCATAAGGGAAAAAAAATGCATATTTATCACGTTATGGGGACATTGGATAGGTAAACCCGCTCAAACGCACACTCACACACAAACACGCGCACACACACGAACACACACACACACACGCACACACACACGCACATAGGTCTTCCTATGTAAATGGGGACCGTCCATTCATTTCCCTAATCCCAATCATGACACCCCTAACCCCAAACCATCCATAACCTTAACCATAAGTAACCAACCCAAATACAAAACTTTTGACATTTTTACATTTTTGATTGCATTCACAGATTTTTTATAAAACTGAGGTTATCCAAATGGGGACCTCAAAAGATGTCCCCAAAAGTAGGGAAAATTTAGGTTTTACTGCACTTTGGGGACAATTTGGTCCTCGAATGTAATCTATGCAAACCCACACACACACACACACACACACACACACACACACCATCACAAAAACTGGTACAATACAGGATACAATCGTATATCCTTCTAAACCTGCAAAACGTACCGACAGACATGAAATGCAAATTCAAAAATATGGTGAGAATATTTCATCCAGTGAATATAAATGCTTAATTAATAATGGATTAAATCAATTATTCTTGTCTTTTATAAATACATCCAACTTTCCAGCAGAGAGGGTATTGTTCTTTACTTATTAATAAGCTGTTATAGTTTCCTTCCTATCGCTCATCCTCCGTAAGCGCTGAGCCGGTGCAGGAGGACCTGCGCCTGGAGGCTGTTCCAGGAAACACAGGCAGCCTGGACAGGGAGCCCAGATACCGCAGGACATGGGAGATTCAGAGCCATTCCTGGGGCAAACCCACCCCACACCCAGAGCTGGGTACGGGGGTCAAACTACCGGGGGTGTGGAGCTGGAGTGCCAGCCGCTAATCCCACCAAAGCTTCAGAACCATCATTTTTCTCCTCATATATCTTTTTTTGGAGGGAAACCTGCCCCAGATCTTCCATCCCTGCCAACAGACCTGGAGGTTCACTTGTGTAGGAGAGCTTAGAGAGGGGGGGCTAAAGCAGCCAGCACAGACCAGCTGCCCCCCCCCAGAGGACTCGAGCTCCTCACCCCGCAGCCAGCGGGGGGCAACGTCACACAGGCAGAGCGTTACTTTGTTTCAAAATGTGACATCTTCTGTATATTTAGAAACAACAGGATAGCCTATTTTTTATTCCATGATTACCCAAATTCACCCAACTCCAAAACATTTTGACAAAATGGCATTGGTCAGTACATCACAAGAGACAAGCACTATCAATAAATGGATTTTATATTCTACATCATAATACATAATTATATAAAATCCTGCAGTGGACGATCCCCTGGCTCGTGCCCTCTGCTTCCTGGGATTGATTTGAAGCTTGCTGTGACTCTACACTGGAAGAGCGATATGGAAAATGGATGGATAGATTATACAGAATTATTAGGCTCTGTCAATAAATACTGGGCACCGTGAATCGAATTACACAGAGCAACAGTGTATCTAGTCCTTAATAAATATTTCCTCATGCATTGATGGATATTATTACCTTTAAAGGTAAATGTAGAAATCCTCCCCC